AAAATGCACTTGAAATAAGACAATGGAATTGTGTTTTCTTATTTTCAGAGTAAATAATCTCGTTCCATTCCCAAAATGTCTCTTACCCCCTCAATTCAAGAGCAAATGCACTTATTTTAAGAAAAAGTGACTTATCTAGATTTCAATTTTTTCCAGTGCAAAATATTTAGATCAAACTATGTTTCAGATTCTACCTTAAATGTTCTAGATTCTTTATTTACGTGAGTAAAGGGGAAGATGAGCGACCCGTACGGCTGCAAAAGGTTTCAATTAAAGTCTGTTGCTATGGAGACGAGTCTTCCAAACTTTCAAGGAAAGGAAACATTTATTCTGACTCGAATTTCTGGAAGTTTCCCTTTTTTTCCAGATGGCGAGAAATGAAGAGAAAAAGTAAAAGAAAAGCAAAGAAATAAAGCAGGAAAGTGAGAAAGAAAGCATAAATGAGAATAAAAAAAAAAGACGGCAATTAAGCAAGAAAGACGTAGAAAAAGGGGAAAGGAAGAAATAAAAAGAAAAAAGAAAGCATTATAGAGAAATAAAAGAAAAAGGCAGAGAAAGAAAAAAAAAGATTTAAAGAAAGAGCGAGAGGGAAAGAAAGGCGTTCTCACCTGAGGTCTAATGTTTGAATGTCTGGACATCTCTCCACCAGAACCTTCACGTCTGCAACAGGAAAAAATGTTTTAATCCAGATCTATTTATCTGAAAGAGGATAAAAAGCTAATTCTGCTCACCGTCCAGCGTCAGGCTCTCCCTGTAGCCGCTCAGGTTCAGCGCCGTGACGCTGGGGCTCAGGTGATTCACCACACTCTGCACGTGTTCTCTGCTGAAGCTGCACCAAGAGACGTTCAGCTGCTCTAAACTAAAACAGGAGCACAGGAGGGCTTTAGTGTCAGGAACAGAACCGCCCGGTTCCGACGGATCAAACGGAGCCGTGATCCGACCTGCAGCAGGATCCCAGCATGTCGGCCAGAGCGGCGGCCGAGAACCCGGAGCAGCCGCTCAGGTTGAGCTGCAGCAGGCTGCAATTCTTCGCCAGGCAGCTAGGAGGCAAAAAGCAGACAGAACCGTCAAATCCAGTTCTACCGCACCGACACTGACGACCCAAACGACCGGTTTACCTGATGATGCTGTCAGAGAGCTGCAGGGCCTCCAGGCTCAGGTACTGCAGCTGCCTGCAGCCGCAGATGATGCTCTGCAGAGCCGAGGTGGGCATGATGGAGCTGGACAGATCCAGTTCCACGAGCCGGAGCGGCCTGGAACCAGAACACAGAACTATTAGATCCTCGTGAGAAAACCACAAAGCTCAACAGAACCGAAAGATGGTTCACAAAATCTGAAAAGTGTGGCCTGCATGTAGCTTAAATTCAGTTTACTCTAAAGGCGCTAAATAAAATCCACCACAACCAGCTTTATAGAACCGAATGAAACAGATTGTCTTCACAGTGAAGCACGGTAGTGATGGCATCATGCTGTGAGACGGGGAAGCCGATTGGTGGATGGAAGGAAACCTGAACACAAGAGGTTCCCAAGGTAGGGGTCTGGACCTGAGGGTCACCAGATGCCATTTTAGGGTCAGGAGATACTTACCTGAGGTACATGGAGGTCTAAATATAGCAAAAACACAAGAAATGTGAATTTCCAATTAATCTAACAATTATTTATCTAAAACTAAAGATAAAATACAGCATTAAATAACAATTAGATAATTCAATGTCACATTAACCCCTTAGCAATAAGCGTCGATTAAAACCTATTCCCTCTAAAGCTCAGCAGTAGGCAGCTGAAGGTTAAAGGGTTACATTTATACGTTTAATAATGAAATGTTAAAATCATTAAAGGGGTGATAGAATGATTCTAACGGGTATTTGGTCGTTAAGGTCTCTGAATAGGGTGTGTAACATTGGATGGGCTGAAAATGGAATATTTGCTATTCTATGAGTCCTAATGCAAGCCTGGTTAAAAGCCCCAAAATTAAACGTGTTTTCTTCCTTTTGTGGTATGATCACGAATATTTAGATGAGCTGTGCTCTGATTGGTTGGTTTATAACGAGTGAAGCTGCTGAGCAAAGATGCATCATAGCAACAAGCACTCACTGATAGGGATGGAACGGTTTATGAAAACCGTCCGAACCGTTCGGTTCGACTGTCTCGGTTCGGTTCATGTGCTGCTCCTTTTTCTCATAGGCGAAGCGT